GCCGCGGTGGGCAAGCCGCCATCCTGGGCCCGCGGCTCGCGGCCGTTGGAGATGCGAAAGGCGATGCGCACCTCGCCGGGGCCCGGCCCGGGCCGCTCCTCTTTGCGGAGGCCCTTGGCCGGGGGGCTGTCCCGCTGCGCTTCGAAGTGGGCCACCGCCTCGGCCACACGGCTGCAGTCCCCTGCGCCCCCGGCGCCCCGCCGCTGATCGGGCGCCAGCCCCTTGGCCGGGCCGCCCTGCTCGGCCGACACGAAGACCACGGGGGCCGGGGTCCCGGGGCGCGGGTAGTTCTGCAGGGCCAGGGCAGCCCGCTGCTCCACCAGCGCCACCATCTCCGCCACCGAGAGCAGATCCAGGTCCTCACCGGTGGAGCCTGGTGTCCCGTCCACAGCGGGAAGGCCCTCCCGGCCCCCTGGGTCCGGCGGGGCCTTGGTGGGCTCCAGGCAGCGCCTCCGCCGCTTGGCCTTGGAGCTGTCGCTGCCCCAGTGCCCCTTGACCTTCATGGAGCTGGCCCGGCTGCCCCCGCCGCACTGGTGGGCCACGAAGAAGGCCACCTTCTCCTTCGTGTTTCCGGGCTTGATCACGTACCACGTGTCCAGCAGGACGCGGCCCTCATCGCCAGCCGTGGCCGCCGAGAGCAGCGGGGCTGCGGGCTGCGGGGCCGGGGCCTCCGGCGCCAGCGCGGGCGGCGTGTTCTCCGAGTGCACAGGCCCGTGGTCAGCCTCGGCCCCGCTGCCGGGCTCGGGGGCTGCGGGCTTGAGGGCGGCGGCGAGTGGGCGCGGCTGGTTCTGAGAATAGGTGCCGAAAGGCCGGGGGCACCACAGCTGGAAGGGCAGAAGGCTGCCGCGGTCCATGGTGAGGGGTGCTGTCAGGCGGGCGGGGGTTCACCGAATCCCAGGAGCTGGACTGAGCGTGCGGGCTCCACGGGCCACCTGCGGTCAGGGGAGAAGAGATTGGGGCACTGAGGGAAGACCCTTCTCTCCCAAGATCACTCAGTCTTCAACCCGTTGGGCCGGGTCAGCCTGTAACCTGTAGCTTCAAGGTGGGCGGCCCACAACACAGGTGAGCTGGCTGGGGAGGAAGGGGTGGACAGGCCCTATTCAACACACAGAGGAAGATGCCGGCTGGCAAATTGTATCCTTGCCACCACTTGGCACAACCGCCCCGCCCTAAGTGCCCTAACTCCCCAGGAGACTCCCGCAACCAGAAGCTAGTCTCCCCCACCTCCCAGGCCCGCAGAATACAAGGACCAATTGCCATACATACACCGCTTCCTTCTGCTCTGTGCTCCCTGGGGCTCCAGGTCCTAAAAAGACCAGCATTCTCAGGCCTGCCCACAGCTCTGGCTTCTTGGGCCCACGGAGGGAGGAGGGGGCAGGCTGAGCCCCAGAGAAAAACTGGAGAAGGTCAGAGTCACACAGGCCCTTAAGGAATGGACTCCTGGGGCACAGCCATTGCCCCCGGGTACTGGAAGGCCTGTTCTCAACCAGTACACAGGTAAACGGGGGCTCAGAGTAGGGCAGGGTGGGGACATGACGAAGAAGGTGGGTTGGGAGCAAAGCCCAGCCATCCAACTTGGTTGGTGGACTTCTCTGTCCTCAGCTCTCACAGGCCCTTGGGGTGAACTTCTCTAAGGTTTTGGCGGGCACAGGCGAGCAAGGAGTCAGTCTGAGTGGACAAGGGTCCCCCTTCCACTGGCTTACAGAACAACCCCTCCAGAGCCCAACCTCCTCCGGACATCTTAACACCAATTCCCTTCCTCAGACCTGGAATGTCCCACATGCCTGGGCACTCAACTCACTGCCATTGAGTAAAGGCCGACTCATTGGTGTAAGATACGAAAATAATAGGACAGGGTAGAAATGCTCCTGTCAGTTTCTGGGACTGTAAGTGGTTCCAGGGAGAAAGCCCATCTTTCTCCCTCGGAGCAGGCTGGTGGTTTTCAACTGCCCACATCTTGTGAATCGTGAGCCCAATACTAACCATGCCACCAGGACTCCATGCCCAGACACTAGAGGATGGCAAACTATGAGCCAAGAGCCAATTCCGGCCCATAGCCTAACTTTGTAGCGTTCTCTTGAAGCATGCTCCTTTCGTTCCCCGCTGTCCTCAAACTCCAAGGGCAGAGTGGCTGTTCTCACACTCGAAGGGCAGAGTTGAGCGGTGGTGGCAGGCACAGGCTCACCATCATTGGACTCTTTAACGAGGTTTGCTGCCTTCTGCTGAGTCCAAGTATCTCCACCATCAGCACTAAAACCCCATTGCTTTGTGGTCCTATAGACACCATTCAAATCCCAGGCTTAAAAAACCACAACAAAACACTCATTGCCATCGAGTGATACTCATTTCGGCCCTAAAGAACTGGGTAGAACTCCTCCTGTGATTTTCCAAGACCATAACTCTTTACTGGTGTGGAAAGCCTCACCTGTCTCCTACAGAGTGGCTGGTGGATTAAAACTGCTAACCTTGCAGTGAGTAGCCCAATGTATGACCCTCCTATACCACCAGGGCTCCTAAAACCCAGACAAGCCTCCCCAGACTCATAGGCATCAGTTAAAAGTGTCCCAATTCGAGGAATCCTTACCCCACTCCATAACTCCTAGTCCCAACAATCTTTCAATTCCTCATAGCCACTTCTGACATGTCACTTCACTGCTTAAAAACAAAAAACTCAGGCCTCATAGGGACACACCCAAACCCAACCCACTGCCACAGAGTCAAATCTGACTCAGTAACACGTCCCCTATAGGTTTTGAAGGCTTTCTAAATCTTTATAGGAATACAGTCTCATCTTTTTCATGTGGAGCAGCTGGTGGGCTTGAACCGATAACCTTATGCTTAGTAGCACAAAACTTACTTGACACACGTCCCTTAAAAATGGTAGGGGGAAGGGGGGAAAAGGAGGGGAGGAAGGGGGGACAGATTGCAATGATCAACATATAAACAAACACACACACACCCAGGGGGACGAACAACAGATACTGTGGGGGAAGGGAGACAGAGATTGGTCTAAGATATGAAAATAATAATAATTTATAATTCATCAAAGGGTCATGGGCGGGGAGGTGGGGAGGAGCTGATGCCAAGAGCTCAAATAGAAAGTAAATGCTTGGAAAATAAGGATGGCAACATATGTACAAATATGCTTGATACAATTGATGTATGGATTGTTACAAGAGCTGTAAGAGCCCCCAGTAAAATGATCTTTTAATTGAAAAAACAAACAGATGATGACGTTTCCCAACTACCCATTCAGATACATCCAAAAGCCTAAGGGCAGAAACAAAAGCCATTCTTTACAGACAGTAACCAATCCCTCCCTCTCAACCTTAATGCCTTGACCCTTCTGTACAGTTCTTCATGTTGTGGTGACCCCCCAACCATCAAGTTATTTTCGTTACTACTTCATCACCGTCATTTTGCTACTGTGATGAATCGCGACTCCTGTGAAAAGGTCATTTGACCCCCAAAGGGGTCACGACCCACAGGTTGAGAACCACTGCTCTAGAACCTGGCTCCTATCTGAATCAATCCTCTACTTAGTTCTCCTACCCTCATCTCAGACTTTGACCCCCTCCTTAAATATCCAAGCCCACTGTCATCAAATTGATTCCAACTCATAATGACTGTAACACAGAGTGCTCTCACCACCTGCGAGGGTTTCTGAGACTGTAAACCTGTATGGGAGCAGGCCGTCTCCATCCTTCTGTTGTCCTGGTGAGGCAGAAGCAGCTGGTGCCTCTGAACTGCCGACCTTGTAGTTGGCAGCCCAACACTTACCCCACTACTCCACCAATCCGACTTTAACGACACCCCCCCCCACAAAAAAAATCCCAAACAATCAAATAATAGACCTCCAACCCCAACCAAGCCCTCCCAAATCCAGTGTTTACCAAGAACAGCCTGGCTCACAAAACAAGTTCCTGACCTCACCGCTAGCCCTGAACCAACAACCCAAACCAGACCAAACGCACTGCCGTAGGAAGTCGATGCTGACTACTGGCAACCCTATGGGACTGAATAAAAAAACTGCCCTCGGGGTTTCCGAAAGGGGCATTCTTTGTGGGAGCAACTGGTGGCTTAAAACTGCTGACCTTGCTGTTAGCAGCCCAATGCCGCCGGGACTCCTCAAATTCTGCGCTCATCCTAAGCCACCTACATTCCCTAAATTCTGCAGAAGCTCTCACCACAGAAGACCCCACCCAAACACCAAAGCCCCCTAAATGCCCGAGATGAACTCCAGACCATAACAAAGATCGCTCAGAGCCCAGCAAAGCCGCATAGGTGTGATCGTAGCCTTTGTGTGTTTATTGCCTACAACCTGCACGTTTCCGGGGACCGTCTTGACAGTCCCTGCCACACCTGCCCGGACCCAAGTAGATACAGTCCCGGTTTGCCGATGGGGCACAGAAAGGTGAAATCACTTGTTGGAGGGGCTCACAGGGGTGGACGGCTCCATCCACACAGGCAGGACGTGCCTTCAAAACTGGTCGTCGAGCTTTTCCTGTGCTGCTCCCCAAGCCCCACACAAAGGAAACTCAGAGCCTTCCAGATCACAGAAGGACCCAAAACCCAAACCCCGAGACGCCCCAAGCGCAGCGAAGCCCCCCCCCAGTACCCCTTACGCCCACAGACACTTCTCCAAACCTAAAAACCTCCTTGAAATGCAAAGCCTCCTGAAGTGTGTCACCGCCCCACACACCCCTGAAAAGACCAAATCCCTCACACGACCCTGCAGACCTAGACACGCCCCCGCAGCGCCCTCACCAGCGAGCCCCCCCAGTCGGCCGGAGGGGGCAGCCGATTCAGACACGCATGCGCGCCAAGAAGCCTGGCGGTCCCGCCCCCTCTCCCGCCCGCCGGCCCGCGGACCAGCTTCCCCCGCCCTTTTGTTGACAGACGCGCGCGTGACGCGCTCAGCCAATGAGCCGCCGCGGTTCGGGACGGTGTCCATATAAGGCAGGCCTCGGAGCACAAGTCCAACTTAGGGAGAGGGAGGAGTAAGCAACAGGAGACCCAGGACGCGGGAGTGTGAGGGAGTGTCGGACAATTCCCAACTTTCCTGCAACACGAAGGAACCAGGCCGAGGCGGAGGCCACGGCATTCAGGAGAAGCCTTATTACTCGACGATCCCTCTAGACTGGAGCTCTGATTGACAGTGGAGATTTAAAGGGCTAAGCGGGTTGAAAACTCCGGGGCGGAAGGAAGCCTGCGGATAAATCAGGCTTAGCCAGCTTTGGTTGAGAACCCATGGACGCAGACGGTTCCCGCTTCCCTTGAAAAGCAAACGGGCCTTTCAGGCTCAGGCCAAAAGGCCACCTGGGCCTATCAGTTCAGCCTTTCGACGAGGCCAACCCCCCAAACCTGACTCCGAGAGCTCGGTAACAAACGTTAAAATAAGGATCGCATGCCACAATGATGATGGTTTGGGTACACAGATACAGTCGCTGCCCATGGAGCTGATGCCGACTCACAGTCATCCTATGGGGCAAGGGAGAACTGCCCTCCGGGTTTCCCACACTAACTCTACTCATCTTTCTCCTGCAGAGCGGCTGCTGGTTTCCAAGCAGACCAATGCTTATTCACTCCGCCACCCGGGCTCATTTGGGGTACACCTGCTGCTTTCAAGTTTGCTGGGTCAACGATCCTATAGGACA